AGCGGGTTAAAGCACAGCACTGAGAAGCTAAAGCCACTTCCGCATGAGTTCGATCCCCGCCTGCCCCGGAGGTGACCCACATGGCGCGGCAGACCTCTCCTGACCTGCCTAAGCAACCCTCAGCAGTGTACTTCCTCAATCTACCTGTTCTGCTCCCCACTCTGTCTCTGGTGAATCTTTTCGCCCTCATACCTCTGGCCTGCACCCCAGTTCTGTAAGCATAAATAAGTAAATCTTTAAATAAATAAATTTAAAATGCCAAAACACTGTAAAAGTGAAGCATGAGGAAATGGTCCAGTGTACCCAGTGCACTGCGTGAGGAATATTATGCAGCAATCAACAGGAACAAAAGGGTTTGAACCATGCTCTCCCCAAAATAGCAACTATAAGAAACATAAAATAGATTCTCACCTGAATAACAGAGAAAAAATCAGTAACAATGTATTTCAGACTTCAGTCTATACTAAAAGAGCCATTTCTGTAGCCTCCGCAACACTGTCCCAGGGAGAGCCATTTTTCCTGAGATAGTTTTATGACATTTTATTTCCCCCAATTGGAGATTAGTTTAGCCATTCAAAGAAAATTAAACATTTTCTAATCTTTAGATAGCATTCCCAGGACATATTTAAGAAAGGAGAGAATATTTACACTGTACATTTAGGTAAAAGAGCACCATACACACAGACCTCTGCTTCGGGGTTAATTCCTGGAAACATGATGAAAGGGCTCTCCTGACCCATGGCTATTTCTGAAGAGGTAGACAGCAAAGAGATCATATGAGTGTGTGAGGAAGTTCTCACAGATACCTCGTGGATTGAGAAACATTTTCTTTGAAAAAATAAAGTATGAGAACAAAAGAAAAAGCACCTCCATCTTGACAAAAAATAATTGTGATTAAAAATACTGATGCATTTCATTTTTTCATTTATACATGCTTTAGGTTTATTCAAAAATCACACTATTGTACCATAAGAAGATTTATTTCACCAATGACTTTTGGATCCTTGAGCCACAATTTCCCATTATTACATTGTCCATCTTTCCTCCTAAATTTTCTAAACATTAGATACAGAATCTGTTAACAATTCAAAGCGAAGAACATTCTCTTGAATAATATACCATAATTAGCTTAAAGATTATTAAGAACCGAAGCTGCTGAAGAGTCACATTTATTCAGAGGTCCCAAAGTAGCCCTGAGGTCTCAATAGGAAAATACCTGCTATAAAGTGTTAACAAAACTCTCACCTCGAAATTTACATGATCACCTCCGTAGTGAGCATTTTTATAATATCCAGAAACCGGCTGGAGTTTTAGAAACCAAAAGTTTTACATTCAGAAAACGGAGCTTATACAAGCTGGCCAGCTTGAGACTGGTCACCTGGGTCTAGTCCGTGCAGATGGGTGCGAGCCCCACAGCCTTGGGCAGCCAGTGGACACAGGCCGGACAGCCCCTGGACCAAGAGCATGTCCAGGGTTGGCTCCCCCTGTCCTTAACAGGGGACATTCCCACACCCCAGTCTGCCCCCAGGGGCCCCACGGCCATGCAGCCCCTGGCCATCTTCCCTGGTGCTCATTGCTGGTGCTAAAGTGCTCGTTGGCCAGGCTCTGCAGACCTCAGAGGCGTGAGGTCGACGTGGGCCCACTGGCCACCGCCTGTACAAAGGTGTCACATTGTGGGGATGGCTTCTCTCCCAAACCAAATGGTGTTTGCTTGCTCAGTTAGAGTCGCTAATACTTCATCAGATTTGCAAAGCTCCCAGAATTCCTCAGGATAAAGTGCTGGTTCTGAGGTTGGCCTGCGCAGGAACTGGCCGTGAACAGCTGCTGGGGCCCTCCCAGGCGCCCTCCCTGCCCGCTGCTGGTCCCAGGCAGCCGGCTGGCCCAGACACCCCTCAAGGAGCCTTCCCGGGGAGCTGTGAGCCACCAGGCCAGCACCCCCTTTCCATAGAGACTGGGTTATGACGCGTTAGTTATGTTGCAGGCCACAGAGGACAACATACCCTCTTGGCCACAAAGGTCCTGATACCCACCATGAAGCAGGTCACCTGGCCTCCCTGGGGCCACCACGGAGCCACGGCTGCAGTCTCCTCCGCTGGACAAGTCCCCTTGCAGCAGGCCAGGCGTGCACGTGCCCTCAGGCCCGTCACCCCATCACTGGGGCGTGACTGGCCGCCAGGGGCACCCGCCAGGTCTCACTTCAGGAGCTGGGCACCCCGGTCCAGGCGAGGTGGAAGTTGCTGCTGGCTCCATTTCTTTCAAAAACCACTGTCCGAGGAATTTTTCAGCCACTTATTTAAAATGTTAATGTGAGACTCGAGGACCTGTGGGCAGAGGCTGTTGGATTCCAGCCTCCAGTCCCCAGCCCTGGGGTGGTGGGCGGTGGGGGGCAAACCCGGCAGCCCGTGGCAGTGGGCTTCTCCCAGCGGACAGCGCAGCTGCCATGGCCACCGGCCGTTATCATAAGTCTGATTTGTGGGTTCCAGGAGGTTCTCCCAGAAGATGGAGGCCGCTGCCTCGCTGATGAGGAGCAGTGAGTAGCCAGTCGGTGCCAAACCAGCGGATAAGGGGATGGGCTTGGATTTCATCAAACATGGTAAAGACAAAACACGTGAGCATTTGCTTCTGTGAGGCGGTGACCCGGCGCCCTCGACGCCCCTCCTGCAGGGCTTCTCGGCACAGGGAGCCGCGGGCATCTAGGAGGGGTGTCTGGGGGGGCGGGGGCCGGTGGGCCCAGCCGGCTCCGACTCAAGTCACTGAACCCTCGGAGGCCGATGAGGACGCCGGCCTCGCGCGGTGCACAGGGTGGACGGGGCGGGCAACAGGCTGCGAGGGTCCGGGCTCCTTCCTGCGCCTCTCGGCCGCGTCTCTTCCTAGGACCTCGGCGGATGCTGGGGTGCGGCGCCGCAGGCCTCTCACCCGCGTCGGGGCTCGCGTCAGACGCGGTCTGCCGGGCAGCAGTCTTCTCTCCACGCAGACGGGGGCGTCCAGACACCCAGGCGCCCACAGAGGGACGGGGGCGAGGTGGCCTGGCCGGGCCCCTGGACACCCACAGATCCCGTCTTCCGCCCACCGCTCGCTGCAGCGCCCCTCGGTACTCCCGAGATCGCCCGGGCTGCCCGAGCCCCCGAGGGGCGGCTGCACTGGCCGGGGAGCCGGACTGGGGAAGCGGCCCTGACCGCCTAGGCCGCAGCAGACAGACCCCCACCGCCGCCGTGGGCGGGGTGCCCGCACCCGGGGAGAACCGCCCTTCGCTCGCCGCCCGCGCAGAGGGGCGCGACGCGGGACGCCGAGGCCGGGCGCTCGCCACTCGCAGACCTTTCAGCTGTGAATGCAAGGCGACGGAGAAGCGTTGCGGCGACGTCGTATCACCCCAAAAGCACTGCGCCCGCGGACCCCCAGCTTCCCGTAACCCCGACGCCCCCGGGCGCGCGCACGTGTCCGCCGGTGCACAGCGGCCGACAAGGTCCCAAACCCTCCGTCTCCGTCCATCCTACTCCCCGCAAACTACGGAACAGGAGGAAGGCAGGCTGCGACCGCCCCTATTAATACATAAATCCCTGAGAAGATTCCTGCCGGCTGCAAACTCACAGCTATTTACAGCTAATAAATACAAGGGTGGGCAGGCCCGGCCGGGCCGGCAGGGGCCCAGGCCGCCCTCCTCGCCCGGGGTTTCTGGGGGCCTGTCGTGCTGACCTCGCTTTTCTGCCCCTTGTAGGCCTCCGCGGGGCGTCGGGTGCCGGGGGTTCAGCCAAACCCGAGAACACAGGCCAAGGAAGGAAAGACGAGAGAGAGAAAGGGAGAGCAGCTGTGGTGGCCAAGCCCAGGGCCCCATGGGGCGCAGGAAGGGCGCTCACTGCCCGCTTGCGCCCCCAGTGACCCCAAGGAGCAGGGCGGGTCTAAATCCACGAAAATACACAAGCACGAAACTCTGGTGCCGCGGTAACACCCAGCGCAAGACTCGAAATTGAACCTGGGTTTTGGCGGGGCAGAAGCGCGGGGAGGCGGTGGAGACCAGGCTCGGGGTGGGGAGTGGGGGGCCTACCTCTCGGTGCAAACCACCAGCGGTGGTGACAGACTGGGAGACTTAGCAGCGCGCGGAGGGGCGGGAAGCCCGGCCAAGCAGAGGTCGCAGAGAGGGGCTGCGCCAGGGAGAAGCGGACCGGCGCGGGGGGAGCCCTCGCGCAGCAGGCTGGGCTCCCGGGGCGCCCCTAGCGGCCTCGGCAGCCTGGCGCCTCCCTGCGTGCAAACCAGGTCTCAGCGCGCTGCACAGAGCCAGACCTGGGGGGCTTTAGGGACGTTCTGGAGGTACGTCCCCCTCCCACCCCAAGACCGCCAGTTCAGTAAGAACCTTCTCAATGGGAGCAGTGGCCAGAATCACCCAAAAGCTGCCAGGTGACCATCAGGGGGCAGCCGGCCAGCATTGAGGACCACAGGTTGGAAACCATTTGGAACCGGCCGGCTGGGCCCACAGCTGCCAGTGATGACCAGCCTGGCGATGCCTCCTTACCACACGTGGGAGGGAGAGGCCTCACAGCCAGGGACACGGAAGAGACGGCCTCTCGCCACAGTGACTGCTCACCACCGCCCTCCTCTCACTGGAGGGGCATGGCTGACCCCTGCTCCTCCCTCCAAGATGCCCCGTGGCTAACTAATCTTGCTGGCGAATTGGGTCCACACTCACCTCCTGCCTTCCCAGGTGTCCCCAACTCTGACTTTAAAAGCTGCACCTGCCATCACACCCACCCACCCCCACCAGCCTGGGTGCAGCCTGAGAGACTGTTTCTCGGGTTTTGAGAGGCAAAGGCAAGATCCCTGATGGTGCCCATGGGCGGGGAGCCGGAGGGCCCAGCACCACGTGCACACCCCACAACACAGCCAGGCCGCACATGCGCCCTGTCAATCGGGGTTCTAATTAGCAGTGTTCAAAGCAGCCCAGAATATTTTAAGTCTCTGGCTCCCGAGCAGGAACGCCAGAATAAAGTGCTGTCTGCAGTGCCTGGGGGAGAGTCTGTGCCCACATGGCCAGAGGCTCATCAGAACTAGGAACTTTGGGATAAAAGAGGGGGCAGAAAATTCCCGGGAGAGCTCGGCCCCAGGCAAAACACGTATGTGCTCCACCTCCCGGAAATGCTACCAGCGGGCATCGGGTGAACTGACCATGGCGCAGCCATCCAAGAGTGGAAGCCATTCACAGCAGAGCATCTTTGGAACTGGGTCCAGAGAAGGGCGTCGCCCGCCCACTCCGGGGGAATCTGCCTACAACAATTTGCTCACTGCTCAGTTTCAGTCCCTCCCTGCTCCTCTAGAAATCACCGTCCGTTCCCAAAAGCTTGCATTCTGAGTTCCTTACTCGCTTTGTATCTGTTTGACATGTTAAGGATCACTGGGTTCAATTTATCTAAGAGCACATGTGACTTAATTTTGTATCTCCAGTAATAATTTATTAGATTTGTCTCCATTTCACTAAATGATAAATAATACTAAGTAATAGCCTTTTCTCCCATGGCTTGAATATCTTAAAGACTTTGTTACCCAGTGCGTCCAAAACCCCGTTTAAAATGAGTTTAGTGCAGCAGTAAACACCTGCCTCTCCACCCACTGATTGGCAGTCTGACAGCAGGTTTTCGTCATGAGGACGATGAGGTGGGGAAGCAGCCTTACAAGTTAAGAAAGTCTCACGCCGCCATCTTGCTAAGTCAATGCCTCCATCAAATGGAAACAAATGTTTGGCATCAACAATCGAATGGATAAAAACATACCATGTACCACCGTGAGAAGGCCACCACCGTAACCCACAGCAGGAAAAAAGGGCGAGATCTGTGGGGCAGCGGAAAGATTCGACAAAATCTGTCCTAGAGAGAGAGCAGTTATTGCTAGACAGTTTCTAAACAACGGGTCTTCAGACAAATACAGCAAACTGCCTGACATACAAAAACCCCATCGCTGATGAAAGGCTGCACATTTGCCAGTGGTTAAAAATGCAAAATTACAGGGAATGCCCGTGGATAAACTGGTCGCGGGATTTTCTTGAGAGGTTTTCCAGGCAGACTTCCAGGCAAACTGCCCTTCTATGCTGATCGCTAGGGAACTGGCGGCAGGCAAGGCTGCCCCCGGCGCACCCACGGGTGCGGGGACCCCCGCGGGCGCCCGGGCTGCGCGGGACCTGCAGCAGCCTCCGCGCGCGCGCGCAGCCTCCAGCCCCTCCTTCGGGGACGCCGCCCCCTCACGTCCTCTTCTTCCAGCGCGGCGCCCGCCTCGCCTTCTGCGCCTCTGCCAGCCGCTGCTTCTCCGCCTCCTCCGCCTTCCTCTTCTCCTCTTTGGCCTCCTTGTACCGCCATTTGGGGAGCTGCAGGTGGGCGCTGTCCTTGCTGCTGCCCTTCGCGACCACGCGCTCGGGCTGGAAGGTGGGCGCGGGCGCCTTGCTGACGCGCACCCGGGGGATGACCACGCCCGGCCGCACGCTGCCCCTCCGCAGCAGCTGCAGGGGCCGGAGGCTGGCCTTCCTCGGGGCGCTGGGCTGCTGGGGAGACGGGAGGCTGGCTTTCGGGGTTCCCTCTCTGGAGGGCGCCCCGGCGTGTGAGGTCCGGAATTGCTGCTCCACGCCCTCCACCGGGTCCCTCTCCTGAACCTGCGCGCCAGGGTGCGCCGGAGCCCCCAGGATTTCCTGCACCGCCAGCCGCCTTTTCCCCACACAGGGAGGGCTCTCGGGGCACACAGTCTGGCAGACGACCGCCACGGCTGGGCTGCATAGGCCCGTGGTCATTCTGACCATGTGGTCAAGGACACCCCCATCCACAGGGCCCTGGCGGGAGCGGGAGGCCAGAGCAGACCGAATGAACTCCCTGAGCCTTTGCAAGCAGTTGCTGGAGCCTGGGGTCCTCGGCGAAGCTTCCAGGCGCAGCGGCAGTTCTGGCCTGTACTTGTCCCCAAACTGCTCTGGGCAGGGACGTTCCAGCAGCTTCTGGATGAGACGGACCGCCTCCAAGCGTCCTGTGTAAGCGGCCCACTCCTGGGGCGACATCCCCCGACGGGGGTCCCTGGCGTGGACATCTGCCCCTGCAAAACACAAGACAGCCAGGAATGGGTGGGCGCACAGGGGCTTCCCTTCCGCAGGCAGAGTGACCGGCGGGCAGGAAAGACAAAGCCCCCAAACCCACCAGACTTGCACGGCAGGCCCTGCGGAGCCCAGCGCCCACCTGCCTGCGCTCGGCTCTGGGTCACCGGACTCGTGACAGGGCCACATGGCAGGTTTCCAGCAATGGAGACATGACTGGACGACAGAGGTGCGCTGTGAACACTAGCGGGCGAGACTAGAATGTTCCGACGATATGAACTGCGAGAGGCACGCGCAAAGCATTTCTGCTCTTCTGGGAGGACTTTGAGGGTTCCTAACTTGCAGGAAATGTGGGTTCTTTACTGCTCAAATTGAGTGGTTAGCTGAGTAAAGGCAGACACAGGAAGCAGGCATTTAATAAAGCCCGGGTACAGAAAGGACAGTGGTCACGGCGGCGAGAGTCCTCCAAAGGCCTCGAAGCTGGTCACAGATCACGAGCTCGGACTTGAGTGTCGTGGCCGTCAGCTGTGCACGCCCACCACACAACAGGGCAGGCCCCTTCCACCGGGGTGGCCAGTGTTCTATCTGCAGTCCCCAGGGGTTCAATCAAATTCACGTCTGCGTGTGCTCTCAAAGCATTTAGAGATGCTCAGAGCATCACTGGTCGATCGACTTTAAGTCCAGCAAAGGACCCTCGACGGTGTGGGTGGGCCTTGTCTAATCAGTTGAAGGTCTTAAGAACATAAACTTAGTTCCCCGAAAAAGAAGAAAATTTAGCCCCAAGACGGCAGCTTCGGCACCTGCGCAAGCCCCCAGCCTCCTGGTCTGCCTGAGGATTTCAGGTGTAGCAATCCCCATCGTCTCGTGCTGTTTCTTCTGGGAGGTGTTTCTCTAGAGAACTCTGGGCCCCTCATCCTCATGGTCTCCCATGCTATCACTTCTTTGTTAAAGCTCCCACACTGTCCCTCCTAATATCACAAGTTCCACTTCAGCTCGACTTGGGAAGATGTTTGTAAATTCCCAATGGGCCAGGTGGAAATTAATAGGAATTACTGTTCCATTTATCTTGATCCAATCTCAGTCCCATATACAGCTAAACATCACTCAGGATTTCAGGCCCCCCTGACACATCTCCACAGGCAAAGCAAAGTGGAAAACCAGGGCGAGTGTGTAGGGGGGTCCCGGGAGGCCAGGCCTAACCGGTGGCCGCAGTTCAGCCTCCAGGCGCTGACCACGGTGCCGGCCCATTGGATCAGAAACGAGGAGGGCGGGGCCCGGCCGCCTCCCGGCCTCGGCGGCCCACGGGGCAAGCGGAGTCCCTCACCTGAGCTCGCCTCGTCAAGCTCTTAATTCCGTGATGCATTAAAGAATAGCCTGTAATTATTTGGAGGTGGGAAGCAGGATAAAGCTCGCCAGCGAGCACCCAATTTACAAACTGACTAAATGAAAAGGGGCAGTAAAAATGTCAACGCAAAAAATAGATGACACATTAAACCTTAATTAATCGCATGTCACTTGAAAAGGAACAAACTGCAAAATTAAAATCTTAATGAACAGCGCTTGAAAGAGACATTTCTCAAACACTAATGGAAAACGGAAGGAACAGCTGCCTCCCGGACCGCCTCTCCGCGGTGCTCTCCTGGGGCCTGGGGAAACGCAGACTCCACAGCAGGCGGCTGCCAGTCTCGGCCGAGAGCAGCACGGCAGAGGTCAGGACTCACTTCCTCCAGCAGCTGCCGTCAGGTACCGCGCACGGGCCGGCGGCGGTGAGACTCCTGGGGCTGGTGACCAGCACCTTGTGCGGGCACCTTTCAGGGGACGCGGCGGGTTCCGGAAGGCCGGCGCGTGCCCGCCTCCCCAGGAGGCCAGGGCGCTCCCCTCCTCGCTCACTGCTCCTGCGTGGACGGGCGCTGGGCTACTGGCCACGGCCCGCCGGGCTGGGTGCTGGGGCCCCGGCCTGTTGCGTCCCGGGCCGCAGGACGCCCGGCTCCAGCAAGGCCTTGCAGTTGGTCTGAGCAGGGTTCCGCAGCCGCACTGCTGCTGGTGTGTGGGGCCGGAGCTCTCTGGCGTGGGGGCCGAGTTGACAGACTTCTCTCAGCGTCTGGCCGTGTCCCTGGATACCTGCAGCACTCCGCCAGTTGGCAGCCCAAACGTGCCCAGGCACTGCTAACTGCCCCTGCTGAGGTGTACAGGCCTAACCGGTGGCCGCAGTTCAGCCCCCGCACAGCTGCCAGGAGCAGCAAAGAGAAGCCTTTTGCTGTGGGTCTGAAGCCCCCCGTGGGCCATGTGGTCACAGCAGGGAGGCTGGGGAAGGGGCGCCAGTGGACAGACAGAAACGGCCCAGTCTGTGACGTCTTGGTGGACAAGCCCATGTGGTGACCAGACTCCTCCCTGGGCTGGGGCAGGGCGGACTGCTTCCTTGAGCCCCTGGCAGGTCAGGACTTGGGTTATGGAAGCGGAGATCGTGGAAGGAAACAAGCCACACACACAGCCCTCACTCTCAGACCCCCCGCCGAGTTACCGAACCTCCAAAACCCAGCTTCGGTCTCCCGGCAGACAAGAGGCCTTTGTGGCCCAACGGGACCTCTGTGGGCCGGTCCCTGGGGCCGCCCCCCTGCGCCATGCGGGCCATGCCCCCGGCACTGACGGGATACCCAGATCGAGCTGGACACTGGCGTCAGAAGGGGCCCCTGGTGGGGCGTCACACCGAACTGGGCCTCGGGCAGCTGCCGTGAGCTCCTTGCCCGACGGACTGGAGGTGGAGGATAGATACTGTCTTCTTGGCTTTTCTGAGATGTGTTTGTTGAAAGATGGCAGCTGCGAGGCCCTTTTAAAGTGGAGAGAGGGTCAGAGAGAAACCGCATTCTCTGTCCCTGAACCCACGAGGCAAGCTGCTGAGGAGGACCGTCCAGGTCAAGGAACTGATGCCCACGGACTCGGCCGGAGGATGGACCGTCAGACCCCTTTACGGCCTTTCCAGGGGGTCAGCGAGCAACTTCGTGCAGCCAAGAGCAGCTGACGCCTCTTAGCACCAGTCGAGACTGACCACTGACTTCGTCGCCGTCCCGTGAAAGGCCCTGGCTTTGCCAGCACGGGGCCCGTGCGGCTCTCTCCCTGCACCCATGTACCTGAACTACAATTCTCTGGTCCCAAGGAAAGCCACTTTGCCTTTCCAGTTGTCTCCTGAGTTTTTCAGGCGCTGTCTCCTCCTGGTCATTCCTAGGGTCTCAGCAGGGCTGACCCCCCATTAGCCAAGGGCACTTGGCTCACTGGCCCCCCACTCCTGCCCTGCTCCCCACCCCTCGCGACTTCCGGGGCCCCTTCCAGAGAAGCTACCCCAGGTCCGTTCCAGGGTTTGCTTCGCGGGAGTTCGGCACTGCCCTGGCCGCTACGGACGCCTGATCTCTGCCCGTTCTTCCCGATAACTAGAAACTATACCAACTGGCAAATTCCCAGTTCGTGGGAAATTCACATTTTCCTGATAACAGAAAGAAACTCCCGGGGGTGGCGTATCGTTGGCCTCCCAGACGGACAGTCGGGGCTGCCTGGGGAGAGTGACCACACAGTCACGAGCTCGGCCACCAGGAGCTGCTGCCCTCGGTCCTTACTAAACGGGCACCTCCCTCTGTCTGCCAGGGGCCAGTGAGGCGCAGCCGGGCCCCTGACGCGTCTCCCAGGGCGCCGCCGACTTGGGTCCTGGGCGGGCGCAGCTGGGGGCAGGGAGGAGAGATGCAGCTCTGCGTGCTGCGGGGAGCCAGGCAGGAGGTGCGTGGGTGAGGGCGCGTGGCCCTCCTGGGACTCTGGCAGCGGCCACGCAGCCGTGAGCTTGACTTGGTGGCCGAGCGGCTGCCTGTCCGGCCTGGGGCCCCTGCCAGCTCCCTTGGGCTCGCCGCCTAACCCCTTTCTTGTGGTTGCTACCAGTGTGTGCCTTGGACTTCTGGCATGTGGGGGTCTAAGCCCCCCACTTTGGGCCAAGCCTGTTTGGGCATTCGCCTGCAGAAGGCTGGGTCATCTCTGCAGTTCGCTGAGAATCCGACACATTCCGGTCTTTCCTCCCTTTCCTCTTCCTCTCTCTCCTTTGAGTTCTCACCAGTGAGAGATTCTCCAGATGAGGACCCTGCTTCTTCCCCTGCCCGGGCCCATTTAGAATGGGGCGCTTGACGGGTGGTTCCCGGGTGTCCCTGTCATGTGGGTATGCTTTGCGCCCACCATCACAGACTTCAGGGTGTGTGAGCTCGTCTTTGCCTCACACACGTCGCCGCAGTGACACCATCCTCCAAGCACAGAGTCAGATCCCCGAGCAAGTCTGCAGCACGCCAGCTGCACGGAGCCTGTCGCTCCTCGGCGGCGCCACCTCCTCCCTCTGGCCTCTCACAGCCGCCTCGTTAAATAGCCTGTGTCCTGGTGCGTCCGTACCGCCCAGAGCCCCACAGCCCCCTGCTACGTCTTCAGTGCGCCAACGTCACTCCTTGGAAGCCAAAAGCCAGAGTCAATAAATGAACTTTCCAGAACCTGATTGTCACTGCGCTGGAATCCAAAGTTCTGATAATTCTAACGTTATCTCACTCCGCCTGACAAGGTCGATAGGACCGACTTCGTGTCTGCACGTGAGGAACCACTGGAAGGGTGCCCAGGCCAGCAGGGCATCCAGGTCAGCCAAGGGTGATGTCCAGGGGAATGGCCCCACCGCTGAGGACGGCGACCCTGCAGCTCTGACACCGGCTCCGGGGCAGGACGGTGCTCAGGCGCCCAGAAGCGGGGCCACACTTGACCGCTCGCCGTGAAGATGCCGTGTGCTGATGCCACTGCCTCCACCATGATCACGGGGTGGCCGTGACCACTTGGAGGTCAGCTACCGGTGCCTTCTGGCTGTGCAGAGATGTGCTCCACGCCAAGTGTCAACCTCCAGAGAAATACTCAGGACTAGTACCTCAAAACACCTGATTCTCTTAACACTGACAGATTTAGATGGAAGGCAGAAAAATTATATGAGAAGACTTAAATAATTTGTGCAAACTTGTAAACTATCTGAACGATATTCTTACCATTATCCATCAAACCCAGGAAAGAGATGCTTTTTTCAAAGATTTTCTTTTATTTATGCATACAAAAGCTGGGGTGCAGGCTGGGGGGAGGGGTTGGTAGGATTTACCAGAGACAGAGTGGGGAGCAGATTTCTACTGAAATCCACGGCTGAGGGGAGCAGCAGGTGGGACAGGAGAGGTCTGCGGAGCCCTGTGAGTCGCTCCCTGCTGGGGATCGAACTCGGCACCGGCACAGGGAGATAGATAGCTCGGAGACTTAACCCCTGCACCACCAGGGTGGCCCAACCCAGGAAAGATATTAATCACACTATTTTCTTTTAAAACATAACACACACACTAGATCTACTGTGAGGCTAAGTGATGCTCACTCTCCTGGGGGAAAGCAGTGTGCATTAACTTAGAAGTAATTATTAAAAATGAGAATATTCGGGCCCTCCCTGGGGGCGCAGCAGGTTAAAGCACTGAGAATCTAAAGCCGCTTCTGCATGAGTTCGATCCCCGCCTGCCCCGGAGGTGACCACATGGCGTGGCAGACCTCTCCTGACCCCCCCCCCCGCCCGCTGCTCCCCTCAGCAGTGGACTTTGTCGATCTGCCTGTTCTGCTCCCCACTCTGTCCCTGGTGAATCCTCTCACCCTCCACATCTCTGGCTTGTACCCCAGTTCTGTATGAATACATAAATCTTTTTTAAAAAATGAGAATATTCTGGAAATCCAAGGCTACAACCTTGGCCTTAGAGGGCAGCTGAAAAGCTCCCTGAAAAGGGGAGTCTGATTTTCATGCTGCCAGAATCTGTTTATATACACCGCCTGCATCAGTGCCCCTCAAAGACATTGTTTCTCCAGGGGTCACGCGGAAATCCCTGGAGAAGCTGCTGGCTGTGAAGACCGGGGTGCACGCTCCCTGCCTGGTGAGCGGGGATTGCTAAACACCCCCCAACCCGGGGCAGCACCCACCACCCCCACAAAGGATTACCTGCCCCAACACAACAGAGGCCCGGCGCCACGGGCTAACACGCCCCATATCTCAAGTAACCGGGGCCGCTGGCTCCCGGCATAGCCGGGCAGGGCCATTACACCCCCTTGGGGGATGTGAGCAGGAGGCTGCCGGGAGGGGCCCCCTGGAGTGTGACACAGTCATGAAGGGGGGGCCCCCAAGCCACAGCCAGAGCCTGAGGACATCCCCCGCCGACAGGTCATGGAGAAAGTGACCCAGCACGTCTACTACCAGCCTTGCCAGCTGACCAGGGCAGTGCTGGCCCAGAACAAAGGCCAGAACGCACCCGGGGAAGCGCCCTGGCTTTGAAAGACCGGTGTGACCACCGACCTAGTCCTCACCTCCGCTCAGAACGCACATCTGCACCCTTTGTCTACCGGCCCTCCACAGAACCCCCCTAAAGGGCCCCTCCTCCTCTACACCCCCAGCCCAGCCCTGGGTCAGTTCCCTGCAGCCGCTTCTGCAGCAGGCGCGGGGCTGGGGCTGGGCCTGGCGGCGCCCCCTGGCGGCAGGAGGGAGCCGTGCGCCTGCCGGCCGCGTGCGCCTTCCCGCCCCACCTGTCTGCTCTCGTTATTATCTGATTTCCTTTGTGCCCCCACAACACAGTTCTGAAGAACAAACTCGGGAGGGGGAGTCTGAAGGGGAGGGGGTGTCCTGCGGGTGGAGGCCGCCCCCGGGGCTGGGGGCCCCTCGCACACCCCGGGCCCGCGCGCCCCCGCCTACCTGCGAGCATCAGCGCCCGGATGCACTCGGTGCGGCCCTGCATGGCGGCCTTCATCAGCGCCGTGAAGCCGAACACGTTCCTCCGCTCCAGGTCGAGACCCGGGAAGTAGTTCAGCAAGTAGTTGGTGATGGCGGCGTGGCCTGCAAGAGAAGGCGCAGGCGTGTGGCCGCGCTGGGGGCCGCGGCCGGTGCCTGCCCCTAGGGGCGCGGGGCCGGGGAGAACCGGGGTGCAGCACGCGCCGCCCTCCAGCGGTGCCGCCTCGCCCCCCTAGGGCCGGGGCTGCCTGCGCTGCGGGGGGTCTAAGGAGGAACCACTGATCCAGGGGGGGCAGGGGGAGGCGCCGGGCGACAGCAGCTGGGGGCGAGGGCGAGGGGTGCAGGGAGACCTGGACGCTGTTCCCCCCTTTACCCCTCGCCCTCCCAGAAAAGAGCAGTTTTCTGCCCACCCCCAACGCCCCCAAGCTCAGTGCGGGCAGAAGAACTTCAGTGGAAAGCAGCACCCCAGATTTTCCAGGCTCGCCCAGAAACAGAGCCCCCTCCCTGTCTGCTGCCCGGTGCCACTGGCCACACAGCCCTGTGTGAAATGACCCCCCACCCCACCCTGAGCACGCGCCCCCCGCCCACCACTGGCGGGGGGCCTGTGCCCTGCAGTACAGTCAGCAGCCCGCGGCTCTACCCAAAGCGTAGAAGCCAGATGCGAGCACCTCTCCTACCCGGGAGAACGCCCAGATACTTCTGAGCCGCCCCGGGGGGTTGGGGTGCCCCGAGGGCCAGCGTCACTGTGTCTGGACAGCCCGCACAGTGAAGCTGACCTCCTGTCCCGCCTGCCATCGCCTGTAACTCGCACATCCCGGGTGGGGGGGGGGGCCTCTCCTGAGGCCATGGAGGGGCCGAGGGCTGGTCTCCGCCCCTCACTGAACCACACCCAGCAGACCCAGTCTGGAAACACCCCACCCATCCCCACCACTGCGTGTTTTTCTGGAAATCCCAGGAACCCCGCGTCGGGCTCAGATGCAGGGCCCACGGCCATTTCTGTCGTGAATGTGTAGTGACGGGTGTGGGTCCCCTGCCCCGACTGCAGGCGAGAGCAAAGCGTCGCGTCGGCTGAGGCCAGCGCAGGCCCCTCCTGAGAAGCACCGCGAGGAAGCAGCTGCAGGGTGACGCCAGGCTTCACCCGCACGTGGGAGCTGGAGCGGGGGCCCGACCACGGGGCGCCCAGCCCTGGCGTCTCCGCGGGTGTCCCTGTGGGCCAGGGCGGCCCTGGCACCCCAGCAGAAAGCACTGCCCTTTCCGGGCAGGCCACCTAGGGAATGCAAAGATGGGAAGCTGCAGGGAGGCAGCAGCCGCCACCCCTGGCCCTCCGCGGGACAGGTACATGTGTGACATCAGTGACTGTCACGAAACTAAATCCACACCGCCGACGGCTGAGCTGCGCTGCAGAGGGAGATCCGTCCGTGGCCTCCCGGTCCGAGGCTCCTTGTGATCAGCTAAGAAGCTCTGACGCTGGACACCCCCTCTCCGGCCTCTCACTGACACCCCAGGAACCCTTAGGACCGGTGCACCCAGGCTGACAGGCTGAGAACAGACACGGCAGCTCCCTGCTTCCCAGGTCCCCACACCCAGCATCAGCACCCCCGGCGCCCCGGGGGCCGCCCCTCACACCCGCCCGCGCCAGCCCTCCCTCCTGGGCGCCCGCACACTGCGGGGGGCCGGCCACCCGCGGCCCCAGGCCCCCAGGCTCATTCTCAGCCACGTCTAAGTGGGTTCCGAGTAAAACCGCCTCTGTGGGAGCAGAGTCAAACAGCAGTGGCGACAGGGAGTTCAGCGCTTAGACCAGCTGGGGACCCCCAAGTTCGAGCCCCCGGCCTGTTGCTGAAAATCTGGGTGACGTCGGGAGACTGCGGCAACTTCCCACATCTGGAAATAAGAGAATGTCGGTCTCGCGGTTTCTGAAGTTCAGGAGAGAGTTGACTAAAGCGCCCCGAGGAAATCTGCAGCCAGGGAAACCCCGGATAAGCATGTGGGTCCTCAGGCCTGTGGGTGCTGACCCTGGCACACCCAGTAGCCTGGGGCGGGGAGAAGCAGTTTACAGGGAAGAAGCCTGACAAACGCGACCTCAGCCAGGGAGGCAAGGTCCGGTCAGCTGGGCCCGGGCGGGTGTGAGGGGCCCCGCTGGCCCTCCCGGGCCCTCCGGCTCCCCAGGGTGCGGGTGTAGAACCCGCTTTCAGCAAGAACCTGCTGGTCAGTGGACCGGAGCCCCCACCCGCTCTGATGGCCTCTGGTCGGCGTCTCCTCCCCACCCCACTGCTGGGTCAGCTTAGCCAGAATCTCTTCCACCCTTAGGCCCCTTAGTAACTGTCCCCGCTCTGGCCCATCGTCACCGTGCCCAGGGCTGGACGCCCCCGCGCAGTCTGAGGAGTTGAGTCCAGCGTCCGGCCCTGCTGCAGCAGAGCCCCGGTCAGCCGGGGCCTCCGTGGGCCTGGCTTCTGGCAGGGGCTCTGAATGCTGGCTCAGCCCTGGCGAGATGTGAGGCTGGCGGGCCTGTGTCTGTGCCCTGCTCTGTCGCTGCGACAGCACACGCACACACAGGCACCCGGACACCAGGGCAGCACCTCCTCCCCAGGCCACAGGCCCCGCCCCTGGGGAGAGGGTCCGGGAGGCCCCGAGCTGGCGTCCAGGACAGAGAAGGCCCGGGAACAGCAGGAGTGAGAATGGAACTTGCGGTGAGAAAGAGGGCAGTGGTCAGAGGCAGAAGGACGGCCCCACCTGTGTCAACACGGCGCGACGCAAGACCCTGACCCGGGACGCCAAGCAGGGTTTGGGGTTTCTAGGACAGACTCCCCCTCTTCTGCAAGTCCACGCGACCTAACATCAGGAGTTTATTTTTGAAGGGAGATGCAAATGAAAGCCACAATGAGATACCACCTCACCTGGTGAGAATGGCACATCTTCAGACAACTAGCAACAACAAATGATGGCAGATGTGGAGAAAAAGGAACTCTCCTGCACTGCTGGTGGGAATGCAAACTAGTACAACCACTATGGAAAACTGTTTGGAGGTTCCTCAAACTGCTAAACATGGAGCTTCCCTACGACCCAGCAATCCCACTCCTAGGTTTCTACCCAAAAGACACAAAAACACTGATTGAAAAAGATACCTGCACCCCCATGTTTATTGCTGCTTTATTTACAATTGGAAAAACATGGAAGCAGCCCAAATGCCCAAAAGTAGATGACTGGATTAGAAAGATGTGGTACACATATACAATGGAATATTACTCAGCAACCAAAAAAGAGAAGCACATGTCTTTTGCAGCAACTTGGATGGAGCTGGAAAAGATCATGCTTAGTGAGATAAGCCAGAAAGAGAAAGAAAAATACCGGATGGTTTCACTCATAGCAGGAGGATAATGGACCAGGTGAGAAAATAACAAAAATAATGAACAACCATAGACCAGAGACATTTTGCGGGGGTGGAGTGGGGAATGGGGTCAAAAACGGGGGGTGGGGGAAGAAGTGCACGGGATTATGGTGATGACACACGGGTGACTTGGTGATGGGAAACCCACGGGGATTACAACTGAGATGAAAAAAAAATGTACACAATGATGTAAAAATAAACTATTATAACAAAATAAAAAAAAAAGCTTATTCTTGCAAGGGCAGGGCCGTCCACAGGCGCTCCAGGCTCACGGCCGCGTGAGCGCCACAGGGACCCTGTCCCGGGGTGGGGGCAGCGGACAGTGACGGGGCTGGGCTCTGAGGAGCGCCGGAAGGTGGGGGAGGTGGCAGCGACTCCCGAAGATGGCCGGGCTTGCTGGGTCGGCCCCGGACAGCGACAGGAGGGGCCGAGGCCTGCGGTGGGGTTCTCACCTCCTTAGTCACCCACCTCACAGCGAACCCTGGTCCCGGGTGGCACGGCTGCCACTTCAGACGCCAGGAAGAGGGAGCCCGCTCACCCCGCCGCCACCCCACAGCGCCCCATGCCACGAGCGCTCCTCCTGCCCGCCCACACGGGCTGGCTGTGCCACCTGCAGGTCCCAGCTCTTCCCCTCCAGCGCCTCGAGCCCTCTGGCCATCCTGTGGCCCCGAGCTCCTTCCCATCGGCCTCCCTCCTGGCCAGCCTGCTCCCGGCAGGGTGTAGGAATGGCCGGATTCTTCACCTGCCCTTTGCCTTGTGACCTCAGGCTTCTGTCAAGAGCAGGCTGGGGCTGGGCCGCGTGCAGGTGAGGCAGGAGCTCAGCGCCCAGGTTCGATGCCCGCACAGGTCCTTGCCTCAATAATCTCCCTAGAAAAATGTGCCCAGGCCCTCTCCGTGGTCCCACGGACGCGGCGCACGGTGTGGCCGAAGAACGAAAGCCACCCTAGAATGGGAGCGGCGCCCCAATACATAAGCTAGGCCGTTCTACACCCCCAGGCCCAGCCGGCCAGCAGGGGTTTGCCCAGACCCCGGGAGCTGTCACTACCCAGCTCACGGCTCCGCCCTCAGCAGCCTGGATTTGACCCCCTTAATCTGCTACAAGGAGTGCGGACTGGGGGTCAGACAACAACGCTCGTTTCCCTGAGCCCCAGGGCTGGGAACCCCGGGGCCAGCGGGCTCAGTGTGTGGCAGGGGCCCACGCCCCGGCTCAGGCCGCCGGCTTCACGTGCCGGAGGGGGCTTCGGGGTCCGAGGACCGACTCCATCCTGCGAGCTCTCAGCTGCCACGCAGACACCGCTCTGGCCACGCCACCCCACGCACCAGCCGCCTCCCTGTGCCACCACCTGGACGGGAAGGCTCAGCGCAGGACGGGGCGGCCCCTCGCCGTGGTCGATAGCAGCCACGTCTCTGCCCTCACGGCCTGGCGGCTTCCGGCACAGCCACACGGCCACATCATCGACCGCGGCTCTTGTGACGTATCCCGACCCCCACGCCTCCCGGAGCTGGCCCCACAGACCGACTGCTGATGGCCTCCGGCCATTCTCACCTCACACACGCTGTGTCCACGCCCATGGGCCCTGTTCCCATGGGCCTCCCGTGGCCACTCGCAGGCCTTCCTCCATCCCCCGGCCACGCGCTGACTCCCCCTCCACTCCCCCACACACTCTCCTCAGCTCCCTGCCCACTCGGGGTCCAGTTAGCCCCTCGCCAACTGCCAGGT